ATATTTACAGCTAGATAAGGAAAGGGTTCTGGCACTTCTTATATGGTTCTTGACAAATTAAGAGCTCTATCAGATATATCTTTCCATTTACTAAAAGATTATGCATTTCGGACTGTCCAATTTTAACTCACAGACTTTGAAATAAAAGACCCAGCATCCTATCTACTTTTAAACAGCAAGAATAGAAATCTGTCTTGCAGGAAACAAAAGCAAGACAAACAAAAAAGCCATACATATGTATCGTTACAGAAGTGTCCATAGGAAGTAAAGAAAGGGGAAATTGGGTTCATAGCATAAGACTGTCTAGCGTCCAGAAAGGTTTTTCTTTTTGTATGTTAACTATTCCGTTCTGCGTATTTCCTCCTGCACTGTAAGTACCCACTAAATGGAAAAAACTTAAAATTATTAATTGAAGTTTTTAAGTTTTTGAATTAATTTGTGTGTATTTTTTTTTAAACAGTTGGAGTACCTCTAAATAAATGTTTCTTTACAAGAGCAGCAAGATGGGTGGGGTGTCTGTGTAATGTCTACTCAACACAGCAGAAAGATAAGAGGAAATCTTTGGTATGCCCATTTCTAAAAGTCTTAATGGGGGAACCATCTGGAACCAGCTGCATGACAAATCCCACGTTCACCTAAACCTCAAGGGTTTCCTCGTGGGTATAAGAACGGACAGATGCCAACAGGGCGTGACCATTTCCCACACTGCAAATGCCTAAGCAGCACATGGAGATTGGAAAACTCCGCAGGACCTCGAGGCCCCCCCTGTGGCTTTCCTCAAAGCATCCGCGGATTAGCCTCTCTTCTCCTCCTCACTTCCCCCAGAATTGTATTTTTTTTTTTTTTTAACCAATACAATGTCCCTTAAAATGACAGAGCCAGAGAATTTAGGTGGGAAGGAACCAAGAGACAATTGTTAAATCACTGATTCTATGCTTGAATCATCCCTATCAACTTGATTATTTAACTTTTTAATCAACTTGATACATGGCAAAGTTCTATAACTAAGGGGAAGTAATTTATAATTACCTAAAATTACTCAACTGACATAGCAGTCTAAGAAAATGTAGTTTATGTCACCATACAGCACCCAATGCCATCAAAAATAATAATAATTTAAAAATCTATTAAACGTATAAGTCATGCTAGAGAATGTGCACGACTGCCTCAGTTACTCCTCCATTTTATGAAAGAGAAAAGTGAGGCTCAAAGAAGCTAAGTAATTGGCTTTGGGTCACAGTAGGGGCAGAGCTGATACTCAAGTCCACGACCTTAATTACTACTGTGTGTGTGATTCTGTGTGATCAATGCATCACCTGCAGTACTTGCACAAATGCAGACCCCAGGGTCTCACTTTATACCTCTACAATCACAAATCTTTGGGTGTGGTCCTCAGGAATCTGCATTTTCCCCACAATTTTCCCAGTTTTTTACACACAGGGCTGAGAACCCCAGTTATAAAAATGAACCTCTAATGTATTCCATTACATTCAATATATAGATTCAGACAGTCAGTCAGCTTTGTCATGTGCTGAGCCTTATGCCAGATGCTCGAGGCAAAAACGAGCTCACAAGTCTAGAAAGGCAGACAGACATGCAAACTGACAACTTTAGTACCCTTGTGATCCAGCCTGTAGAGTTTGGGAACAGGGAAAATGAACTACAGATGCAAAGACCCCCAAAGAATATGCCCTGAAATACAGCAAATACTGTCCTGAAGTCAAGGAAGAACTAGGCTCCCTCGTTTCTGTGAGGAGGGAATGGAACGTGTGAAGGATGAACCCCTGCAGGGGTGAAGCAGGGGCAAAAACTATTTTGCATAGAGGCTGTTTTCTAAGCCGGAGGGGCAGACACTCCCCAGACGGAAGGGGTGGAGTGAGAGGATGGGGAAGCATTTGGGACCAAGGTGAGACTGGGCAGTTCACAAGAATGGAGAGTCAATGAGGCTATGCAAGGGGATCATTGATCTCCAGACTGACGATCTTGGACTATAACTGCATGGCCTTTAAAGAGGAAGTAGCTTCCGGATCACAATTTCAAACCAGTTTGGCAGCAGAGCAGAAGACATGAGCATGAGGAAAATTACTTATGTCCGTGCAAAAACTTACACACAGTGTTCACTGCAGCATAAATGTAATAGCCAAAACAACCGAAATGTCCATCAACAGATGAATGGAAAACATGGGGTATAGCCAAACAATGGAATATTATTTGGCCATAAAAAGGGAATAAAGTACTGACAACACAAGCCACAACATGGATGAACCCTGAAAACATGATACTAAATGAAAGAAGCCAGTCACAAAGACCCCCATACTATGTGAGGCCATTTATATGAAATGTCCAGGATAGGCAAATATATGGTGATAGAAAGCAGATTAGTGCTTGCCTACAGAGCAAGTGAGGACTGACTGCTAACGGTTACAGCATTTTTTTGGATTGATGAAAATATTCTAAAACTGACTGTGGTCAGTTTTACAAAACCCCGTGACTATACCAAAAACCACTAAAATATGTATCTTAGGTGAGTAAATTGTATCTTATGTGAATATTTCAATTTAAAAAACCATAATGAAAAAAATCAAGTGGTTGTGCAATATTGACTCATGTTTGAGATTTCAGTCTTAGATCAAACTTGTAGCCATCAGCATTGATTCTCTGGCCATTCATCAAAGCTGAGAGTATCTGTTTTATGCCTGCTTTCAGATCTGGAGTATTTCAATCTTTTATGCTGGAGCTTCCTGTCTGGCTTCTTTCACTTAGCATAATATTTTCAAAGTTCATTCATGTTGTAGCATGCATCAAAACTTCCAATCCATGAACATGGGACGTCTTTCCACTTATTTAGATTTTCTTTAATTTCTTTCAGCAATGTTTTCTAGTTTTTGGTGTACAAGCCTTGTCCTCCCCTTGGTTAAATTTATTTGTAAGTACTTTATTCTTTTTGACGCTACTATAAACGGAAGTATTATTTTAGCTTCATTTTCAGTTTTCATCACTAGCATATAGAAATGCAAGTGATGGGGCACCTGGGTGGCTCAAGTTGGTTAAATGTGTCCAACTCTTGATTTCAGCTTAGGTCATGACCTCAGGGTTATGAGATCAAGCCCTGCACTGGACTCCATGCTGGGCATAGAGCCTGCTTAGGATTCTCTTTCTGGCCCCCCCGCCCCCACCAAAATCACTCTCTTCCTCTTTAAAAAAAAAAAAAAAAGAAAGAAATACAAGTGATTTTAGTATACTGACCTTGCACCCTGCAATTTTCTTTCTTCTTTAGTCATTTTTTTTTTGAGATTTTATTTATTTATTTGGGGGTGGGGGAGGAGCAGAGGGAGAAGGAGAAGGACAAGTGGACTCTGCACTGAGTGTGCAGCCTGACATGGGGCCTGATCCCAGGACTCTCAGATCATGACCTGAGCCGAAACCAAGAGTCAGACACCCAAACGACTGAGCCACCCAGGTGCCCCCTTAAGTCATTTTTGATAGTGTATTTCTAAGAATTTGTCCTTTTACATCTAGGTTATCCAATGTGTCAGCGTACAGCTGGTCACAGTATTCCCTTTTAAGTATTCCTATTATTATTATTAACTAAGTAAATAAGTATTCTTTATTTCTGTGAGGTCACTAGGAATGTCCCCTCTTTTATTCCTGAGTTTTAGTCTGCTCTTTTTCCTTTGTCCATCTAGCTAAAGGTTTGTCAATTTGTTGATCTTTTCCAAGAACCAGCTTTTGTTTTCATTAATCTGTTCTACTGTTTTGCCTGCTCTAATCTTTTATTTCTTTCCTTCTGATTGCTTTGGTTTAGTTTACTCTTCTTTTTCTACTTTCTTAAAGTGAAAGGTCAGGTTACTGATTTGAGATTTTTCTTTTTAAAAGCAGGTGTTTATGGCTATAAACTTCTCTCAGAGAGATGCTCCCAATGCCTCCTCTAAATTTCAGTATGTTGTGTTTCACTTTCACTCTCCTTATTTTCTAATTTCCCTTGTGATTTATTCTTTGGCCCACTGGTTATTCAGAATTTGTGTTTAATTTCCACTTAGTTGTGAATTTTCCTTCTGTTACACACTTCTAATTTCATTTCACTGTGGTCAGAAAAGATACTAGATATAATCTCAATCTTTGTTCAAATTTATTGAGACATTTTATGACCCAACATATACTCTATCCTGTAATGTTCTATGTCCACCTGAGAAGAATCTTTGATTCTGCTGTGATTGGGTAGGTCTGGTTATATATATATATGTGTTACGTATATATGTATGTATACACACACACACATATACATATACACACATATATAGTATCTAGTATCAAGTTCAAGTCTTATATGTCCTTGTTGATTTTCTATCTACTTATATCCCAATCATTTTTTTTTTTGCTAAGTAATTTTTTATTGCAGTAAAATATACATAAAATATATAGAACATACAATTTATCATTTTAACCATTAATGAAAATATTAATTTAAAGTAAAATAGATATGGGGCGCCTGGGTGGCTCAGTCGTTAAGCGTCTGCCTTCGGCTCAGGTCATGATCCCAGGGTCCTGGGATCGAGCCCTGCATCGGGCTCCCTGCTCAGCGGGGAGCCTGCTTCTCCCTCTCCCACTCCCCCCGCTTGTGTTTCCTCTCTCGCTGTCTCTGTCAAATAAATAAATAAAATCTTTAAAAATAAATAAATAAAAATAAAGTTAAATAAATATATTTTTACTCTTAGTTCAGGTGAGATCTCAATGAAGGCAGTTAACAGGACTCAATTAAGAAAGGGTTATAGAATAGCTGAATTAAAGTACTGGAAAGATTAGCCACTCTGGAAAGGTAAAAAACGGATGCCATCCAAGTGACACTCAGCTAAGTTTGGGATAGACTTTGTGTTGAACGTATTCTTAAAATTCAGCATAGGATTCCCCATCTTAATATGAGATATGTAGCGAACTATGACCCTCTAGCACCTGGTGTGGCCACTGCTCATGTGGGACAAAGGAACCATATGATTAATTACCTGGTAGCCTTCTGTTTTCTTCTGACACCACTTCAGCAAAGCATTCCTCTTTGAACCTCCATATTCTCTCGCCAATGCTGACAGAGGGTCCTTCCTTTCTTCCCTAAGTGAAAACAAGGAACCCAAAGTTAAAATATTTTTTATTTGAGCTCCATTATAAACCAGAAATCCCACAAAGAAGAGAACAGTGTCGGCTTGCATTTTTTGAATAGGATAATTGCAAACACTAAGACATCTAATGGGAAGATGTGTCTTCACTCATTTGATTTTACTTAAAAATTTTTACAGGGCCCTCACAGACCCATCACTGTCAGGGGTTTCTGCTGTCTGAAGGGAGGGACTCTATTATCCACACGGAAACTGGCAAAGATTCAGCACAACGTGCATTCACAATTAATGGAATGCACTCCAGAACGCTCGGAAGGGGTAAGAATAACCTGACACTGGCAGCACCTGACAGCTGTCACGGCTGCCTTTCACCCAATATTTTACCCTTCCATAATCTTTATGCTTTAGTTTTATTTTACTCACTTTTGTTTCCAACCTTTTACGTCCTCAGTCATTTCCTCTTTTTTAAAAACAAATCACTTATTGTAAATACGAAGGGCAAGATTATGCAAGGTGAAGGATTATAAGGCATAGTTCCTACCTTCAAGGTGCTTACAACTGAGGGAAGCAGGTAAGACAACAGATGGCAACAAATATCCATAAAACACCTCAAATGTGCTTACTGCTACGTTATACACTCTATATTAACTATAGATAATTAGAATTTTATCTTGCATAGAAAAATGGGATTTTTCTGTAAATTCACTCACTCATTCAATACCTCCTTATACACCACTTTGCCAGGCAGTGTGCAAGTGCTGGGCAATGGGTAGTGAACAACACAGAGTCCCTGCCCACTCGAGGAACTTCAGAGTTTACTGTAAGATAGATATATGTAGAAAGAAAAGAAAGAAAAAGAAAATCCAACAATGGCTACTTATAACTCATTTCTTAAAAATATACGTAGGGTACTTTTGGGCACTGTCAATTTCCTTGGAGGAAGAACAAATATCCTGCTCCAGATGAGACAATCAAGATTTTGGGATCACTGTGGTGTTGACGCAAGGGAGGCATACAACCCTACATATCCTGGACCAAATCCTTCCTTTTAGTAACTACTTTAGGACTACCTGGAGTGAGAGTACTTCTAAAATAACCCGTTCCTTCACAAGTGGCATACCCTTGAAAGCCTGGTCTAGTTTTTAGTGATTACTTTATAAATAAAGCAGAGATTCTATCCCACACCCCAGAAAACTTAGTCCAATGAGTGTCCCAAAGGTTATTATGTTACAAGCGGCTTAGTATTGTTCAGCGCATTGACTCTGTCTGTAGTCACCCTCCAAAATAAGTTAGGAAATAAAAGAGAGTTCATTTAGAACTGAAGCTTTTACAATTGAAAGGTGCACTGAAGCAGCACCGGTCTCATTTATCTTAGAACCAGAAGTAAAATACAAAAATTTCCAACCAGCAGTTAAAACTGCTGCCTTGAAGAAATATACTTTTATGCTTGCATGCCAGCCCACCAGACTCCTGCTTTGGTTTAAAAAGTTCAAAGAAGTTTGTTATAATACCACCGAGCACAGGAAAAGAGAATGAAGATAAAGTTAAGATATGTGAATGAACACAAAAAAGCAAGCAAAAAATAAATAAATAAATAAATCTCCATCATGCTCAAACTAAAACTACTATAATCAATGTGAAAGGTTTATTCTGGCTCACACCAGGTCTGTTTGTTTACAGAAACAGCTTAAAAAGCATCAAAGAAGACTATGGACTACAATGGGAAGCTGCAAAAAAAAAAGATCCTTCCAGAGCTGGGGGGTCATCTCTCATAACTTCTTCATTGTAAGATGAAGACACTTTCGGGGCCCCTGGGTGGCTCAGTCGTTAAGCGTCTGCCTTCGGCTCAGGTCATGATCCCAGGGTCCTTTGATCGAGCCCCGCACTGGGCTCCCTGCTCAGCGGGAAGCCTGCTTTTCCCGCTTCTACTCTCCCTGCTTGTATTCCCTCTCTTGCCATCTCTCTCTCTGTCAAATAAATAAATAAAATCTTAATTAAAAAAAATTAAAAAAAAAAAAAGAAAGATGAAGACACTTTCCAGGAGATGCCTTGTTGAAAATCACAGCTTCTAAGTAGGGAAGCCAGGAAGAGTGGGTGCCCTTCCCACAGGCACACTGCAGGTAGCCTACCACCCAAGACGGAGACAAGCATGGACAGTGCTCTCCCTGCAACGGCTTGGGCAGAGCCAAGAGCTACCCTCATCACCGCACCACTTGCTCTGATGGCGCACTGTTTACGGGACCACTATTCTAAGGGGTTGGGCCCCTAGAGGCAGGGCTTTAAACACAAGTATATAATTTAGAGTTTGACAGGCCAACTATTCCATTTTATCCTCATACGTCATATGTCAATATAAAGCTAAAGTTCTGAAACCCACTCCTATCCCTCCTTCAACTCTTCTGAATAACCTCAATATCCCTATAACAATGTATGCTTCATTTCTGACATCTGTTTTTTTTTCCTCTAAATGATAACTACTTCTTAGTCCCAAATGGCTTCTGACATAGGAGAAATATGAATAAAATATACTATTCCATTTTCAGGTATTGTTTATCAGTGATCAGTGTGGCATCATGTTCTCAGCTTCCAATCTATAACAATTAGAGTCCCCTTTGGTAGCTCTCCTTCTTTCATTCCTTTTCTAGAAATCTGTTGCCAGAATCAATCACCTTTCCCTTTGAAAAGCCTCCAGAGTCCCAACCTCCCTTCACCACTTCCACTGCTATCATCCTGATCCAGGCTTGGTATCTCTGTCCCAGAAACATCATAATGTCATTTTAGTTGTGTTCCCCGACTTTTGTCCACAACAGAAGAATCCCTGAATCACCTTCTCACACTGATTTACTTACCCCACTTTATAGCTACTACCACATCCAAATAACTCAATTGGACTATAAAGAGGTTCCATGTCTAGCCACACCCTACCGTCAATCTTTTCCTCCACGGCCCCTGGAGGTGGTAGGTGCACACCTTCCTCTGGCCTTCTGTACCCATCCTCTGTGCATGTGCAGTACCACCTACCCACAGCATCCCAACCCTCAGTTACTCACCCTTCTATACGTTGGCTCACTGTCACTGACCTTGCCAAAGATACCAGCCTGCCCTCCCCACCCAGACGCTGCTCCTCTCGGAAGCCTTCCCTAACCCTCCACACAAGCCCAATATTCGGATTCTACAACGCTTACTTTTGAGGAAAAGAACCATCTCTTTTACATTGTCTTTCTTTTTATTATACCACCTTACCCAATTCTGGGCATAGAAGAGATGAGAAAACATTTAATAAGACACAAAGAAAAAAATCAGCGCTCGACTCCCATTATTTTACAACCTGATCACCAATCTCCAAAGGCCAGGAGAGGTATGCATGAAATGTATCAGTATTAATTGTTCTCTACCTTATCCGACTTCGGGTGGTGGGGGTAACAGAAGCCGTGGGAGAGGAGGACAGGGAGAGCTGTGGAGATGTGGTTCCCATAGCCATAAGAGAGGCCGGCGACGCTCCCTCAGGTGCAGAGATGTCTCGTTTCATCTCTTCACTACTTCGCCGAGACACTGGTTGTGAGAAATAGTCATTATGCATTTTACAGAAATCTAGAAAAACATTTACTTTTATAAAACACTTTTAAATTGAGTTATTTTCTTCAAAAGGTTCCAAAAAGAGCAGAAATTACCATATATGAGGAAAGACTAACATTTTCTTTATCATACTGGTAACTTGAAAGGGTTTATTTCTTTCACTAAGAAAACTGTAAAAAAGGTACAGCAGTTGAGATATGCACTGAACCCCACATTCCCTGAAGGTAGGAGTGTGTCTTATCCATCCCCATTAACACTCACAGAACCTACCTAGCATATAGTTGAGTATTCTAGAAATGTTCGTTTAATCACAAATACAATGAAAACCAAAGGCTAATTAATGCAATACTTGCCAATTATTCACTCTCAACTAAAATAAACATAACCCTTCTAAACTTAGCCAAGATACCATTAAAAGGAAAGAAAGGAAAGATACCTCACTACAGGGCCACACTTAATTCTGGATCAGGCCATGTTTCTAAAAACATGAACCAGGGCGCCTGGGTGGCTCAGATGGTTAAGCATCTGCCTTCGGCTCAGGTCATGATCCCAGGGTCCTGGGATCGAGTCCCACATCGGGCTCCCTGCTGCTTGGGAGCCTGCTTCTCCCTCCGCTTCTCTCTCTCTCTCTCTCTCTCTCTCCCCCCCCTTCTGTCTCTCATGAATAAATAAATAAAAGCTTTAAAAATAAATAAATAAATAAAAACATGAACCAGTGAGACAAACAGAAAACCAAAAGGTGTCAACTACTGAGAGACAAGTTCAGGAAAGTTCTATTTTGAAAGGCTAGCACAGTAAAACATCAGACCTTATCAGAACTACAGAAAGTTCTGAGAACTGCTAAGTGGAAGTAGCCCGTGCTTCAGCCGTTGGTAACAGAGCCACAACAAAAGCCACTTTCTAGCAAGGAGGCGCTGACTAGGCACAGGTGCTCGCGGCCCTGGGCTAAATGCAGAGGGAAGGGAAACGTGAGCCAAAGTTCCTGACCTCAGACACACGCTCTCTCACATCAGAAGGTGCTGGATGTGCAGGCGCCCCGAGCTGGCTGTAATCAATGCAGTACATCAGTAATTCTTCCCTGATGACTAACTGGCCCCCGCCTCTTATTGACTAAAATGTTCTTGATGATTTTAGGATAGACACAAGCAGAACATAACTCGGCATTAGTAAAGTGATGTCTGTAAAGATCCAGGAGAGGGATGCTTTCTCCTATTACATGATCTTATTAGAATGATGTATTTATACATATTTCTGACATAATTTTATAATTATTCTTGATTTTTCTTTCAATGTCAGATCTTTGTATGCCTTAAATCAGCAGTTTAAGTGGTGTGCTAGAAAACTGGCTGAGAACACCTTTCATCATTTTATATAAAATAGAGGAAACTGAGAAAGAATCAGAAGGACTCTGTGAGAAGAAAAGGCTTTGGAACCTGGGCTTTGGGATGGTAATCTTGGCTGGACTTCCCACTAATATAAAGACCCGGCTATGACGTCTAAAATCCTTAAATCCCCGTACAAGTGGAAGGTTAACTGTACGAGGTAGAGTTATAGGAATTCCTCCTTTCCTGGTCCAATTTCTAGTTGAGTTATAAAGGGTAAATAAAGGCCACAAAGGGAAAATAATGGGAGCAGTTGATAAAATGGAGTTAGCCCTAGGAGACAAGGGGAGCCTGTCAAATTCACATTGTAGGATGGCTTTAGCATACTGGAAAAATCTGGCTTCTGGAGAATTTTTGGTGTGCTCCAAAATAACAGTCACGACACACCTTGGGATGGATATCCTAATCTTTCACAACTACACTGACTTTAATATCAAGCTATATTTTTGGCACAACATCTAACCCACTCTAGGCCCTTCCTAAATACTTGTTAAATAAATGATCTAGTTTTGAGGGTTTTTTGTTTTATTTTATTTTATTTATTTTAAAGATTTTATTTATTGAAGAGAGAGAGAGAGAGGACACAAGCAGGGGGAGCTGCAAAGGGAGAGGGAAAAGCAGTCTCCCCACTGAGCAGGGAGCCCAACATGGGGCTCGATCCCAGGACTCTGGGATCATGACCTGAGCCTAAGGCAGACACTTAACCGACTGAGCCACCCAGGTGTCCCTGTTTTATTTTAAAATCACAGCCATGAAATGTGATTTCTATAGACTCTGGAAGATACAACAGGGGAAATTCAGAGTGAAAAATAATCAACTCAAGGGGCCCCTTGGTGGCTCAGTCGGTTAAGCATCCGACTCTTGATTTCAGCTCAAGTCATGATCTCATGGTCGTGAGATGAAGCCCCACTCCAGGCTCCTGGCTCAGTGGGTAGCCTGCTTGAGTTTCTCTCTCTCTCTCTGCCCCCTCCACGCATTTTCTGAAATAAAAATAAATCTTTAAAAAGAAAAAGAATCAACTCAAGAGCTAAAGAGGCAAGAAAAGTTAAATAAAGCATTCAGTACCATTACTAAAACTTCTGGAAGAGTCTTTCTAAAGGAAATTCTAGATAAAAAGTCATCACCTGAGATGGTCTTGGCACTTTCCATGGCAGGTACTCTCGGCAGAGAAGCGGGTCGGCTGGTTGAGGATGTTCTTAATAGATGCTCTGCACAAAATGGGAAGGGTCAAAATAAAGACATCAGACACTGAACTTGAAGTCACAAAGGTAGCAGGAAGGTAAGCTCTCCTCCTCTCCCCACCGCAAGCTCATCCTTCTTTCTCAATCTGGGGCACTCTAACAATTCCCCATGGAGCCCACGTACAAAAAAGCTTCCATACACAAGGACCGTGGGAAAACATTTCATTCAATGTTTGATTTCTAGGGATGAGATTTGACACAGATGAATGCTTCTAAATCACCGACTGCTACTTACCTCTCTGACATAATTCAACCAAAATTCAAAGACCCTCTATGTCGGTCTGAAAGTACAAACTAAATCAAAGCCTTGCCCTTATGTTCCTACCGATAGTGCGGAAGCCATACATACACACAACCAGAGACAAAGTGAAATAAGTCAATCAGAGAAAGACATGTATCATAGGACCTCACTGGTATGAGGAATTCTTAATCTCAGGAAACTAACTGAGGGTTGCTGGAGTGGTGGGGCATGGGAGGGATGGGGTGGCTGGGTGATAGACATTGGGGAGGGTATGTGCTATGGTGAGCGCTGTAAATTGTGTAAGGGAAAAATGAAGGGGGGCAAATCGGAGGGGGAGAGGAACCATGAGAGACTATGGACTCTGAGAAACAAACGGGGGGTTCTAGAGGGGAGGGGGGTGGGGGGATGGTCAGCCTGGTGATGGGTATTAAGGAGGGCACGTACAGATGGAGCAGTGGGTGTTATACACAAACAATGAATCATGGAACACTACATCAAAAACTAATGATGTAATGTATGGTGATTAACATAACATAATAAAATAAAAAAACAAAGAGGACTGGACAATTAGAATAAGAATGACAAAGTATTATCAAACTGCAGAGTGAGAAGCCATTCACTTTGACTTCAGGCAGCAGGGAGGTCTTCAACAACATAATGACGTTAAACTGGGCTTTACTAGTAGAGAAGTGGGGACAGTATCTTGGCCAGAAACAACGAGAACAAAGGTATAAGGACATTCGAGTTACAAAACAATAAAATTCCAGTGTGGCCTCAACACAGGGCATACGGAAATCAGAGAGGGCGGCAGGAAAAGGGGCTTTGAAGGGAAGATGAGGCTGACCAACAAGAGCCTTCATTACCTGGTATGGGGACTTCAGTCTGAGAGCAACAAGGAAGCACCAGACCTTTCTGAGAGTTTGGGAAGGAAGCACACAGGTACTGCCTCTACTGCCCAGCTTGCAGCCACGCCCTATGCCACCCCTCCCTTGCTCTCTAGACTCAAGCTGCCTTGGAAGTTTCTGGAGTTCCTCAAACATTGGCACAAGCCGCTCCCTGGCCTCCTGTTCTCCTCCTCCATTCCCACTGTAGCCTGGCTACCTTCATCATCCTTCTCGTCTAGCCTCAACATCACTTCCTCAGGACCTGCCCGTGCCCCCCACCCCCACCCCCGGAATGGCAGCCCCAAATAGACCAGCACACTTCTTCCCTCAGGCTACAAGCCTGACAAGGCTGTCATCAGGCCAGGACGACAAGCACCAGGACGGACAGACGAGATGTGTTCTGCCAGGTTGCCACGTGCTAAAGATGCGTGATCAGCATGAGGGAAAACACCACCTCTTAAACTTACTGAAGACTACTAGCCTCACTATCCAAGAATGGCCCCACAGCAAACATATTTTAACAGATCATTCACCACTTCTTTTTAAGAACTGACAATTTAAAAAATAGTTCCTCTCAGAATACCATGATGTCAAAAGTATGGCATGACATCTTTCAAAGACAGCGCACCTATTACTCCAGAATCTATTTTCTAAGTGTATGAAGACCATTTGGTTACCAAATGCTGTAACTACACACAACTTTGGGAAGGACGTACTTACTTTCTTAATGAAGATAGGACTTACATAGCCTAGTCACTACATCTCTCCAAACCTGAACAAACATCACCTGTGTGCGAAGAGCCCACAAGCAAGCATCAATCAGAATTCTGAACCCTGTCAGCAGGTGGCTCACCCTCACAGGAAGAGCATATTATGCATGAAGTCTGACAAACAAAACAAAGTTAGGAGAACACGGAAATAGTAGGAAACAGAAATCAACATTTTTAATTTAATCAGAATTTCCATTTTACAATTATGCAACTAGTCATTTCCCTAAAATCTTAATCTCCCAAAGAACATAGCAAATGAAGAAAGTGAAAACAAAGCTCATACAGATAAATGAATCCAAACAAGGAGCGTGTTGGCTAAGGCAAGAAGCCCTCATCATTCCCTATAGGGAAAGTGTTTCTAAATTACCTTCTTTCTCTTTCACACCGCACACTATCGGCACACAACTGAAACAAAGTTCACGAAATTTACTGCTGATTCCTTTACTCAACCCTGGTTAAGGCTTTCCTTACTGCATGTCTAAGGAGCTGTCTCCTTTCGGCAGGTGGTCCCCTACCACAGACCAACACCTACTTTTTGAAAGTATACAAAATTGTACTGAAGGCCTCGATAAGGTTATTCTTTTCAAAATTCTTTGTGGTCAACTTCAAAGCGCACAACACAGTGTGCTGCCATTCCATGAAGTGTTTTCATCGTGAGACTCACACTCGCTCAGAGGCTCTTGTCCCATTGTGAGCACATGTCCATTTACTACTGCTGTCAGCCGCTGGGTTCAGTCTGCATGTTAAACTGTCAGTTTATCGCTCTTCAGCAAATAAGATTAGTGTATTACAGTCATATGTTGGCAAGCAGGAGAGATTATATTTTATAGTAACAGAGTCTATTCTACTGCCATATGGAGCTTTTCTTGTCTTTAATCCATTCAATAAACAAAAATCATTTGGGTGTCCACTATTTGCTAGGCACTGGGCTTGGTGAGGTTAGAGAAAGGAACAAATGAGGCAAGAAACTTACCCTTACAGAACTCAGAATCTAGAGCAGAAGCCAGATATTAAAAAAAGAAAATCATTACAAGTGAGAGATGCTAGGAAAGAACAAGTACATGGGGCTCTGGGAACACAAGAGGGGATGTGACCCGCTCTTGAGGGGAGGTCCGGAAAAGCCTCCTCAGGAAATGACATCTCAGTTCAGATGAGAAGGGTAATTAATAGCTTTTACACAGGCAAAGGAGAGGTTGGAGGGGAGATAGTATTCCCAGCTGAGTGCTCAGCACACACCAGAACAACTCCAGGGCAGCGACGTTCAGAGGATGGGGAAAAGAGCAGATGAGAGGGCAAAGGCAGGCTGGGAGGGCCAGAACAGGCAAGGGGAAGCATGCAGGTGAAGCAGGCCAAATTAAGGAGTTTTGCACTGTACCCTGCTGGCAATGGAGAGCCAATGAAGGCACTTAACCGACTGAGCCAAGATGTGAGCATTTTTAAATGACAATGGAAGAGAGCCAGCAGCCAGGGTAAAACTGAAGATCTGAGGCTAACAGCATCTGTGACAGCTAAGGGGGTGAGATCCAGGGCTCAGGGGAAGGGATAAACCTACACAGGGATGTTCTGTTCACGTCCAACAGACAGGCAATGATAACAGGAGCATACTAGGTCTGCTACTTAATTCTCTCTTATTTTAGAAATCACAGAAATAAACAGGTACAGGCAGTTGTCCCTTTATTGTTTCCCAAAACAAATTTACAGGCAGAATAGTGGGTTTTAAAATAGGAGCCTAAATAGCCAACTTCTGTTCAGAGAGTAGTTCCAAACGGACTGATGCTCCTGCCAAAAACGAGTATAAAATCTGGAAAAAAAAAAAAAAAAAGAAAGAAAGAAAATCAACAACTTAAAGGCACTCTTCTGAAGAGAATCCAAAAGCAGGCAGAAAATGAAAGGAGTAAACGAGTGGAAGAATGAAAGAGCGTGGGGCGAGTTTCCCAGTTTATGGCTACAGGCACGAGTGCAGGCCCCAGGTGAGGCCATACAGGACAGCTGGTAGAACACACAGCCTTACTGCCCTGAAGAAGCAGAGGACAGATCTCAGGACAACCAAAGCTGCTGAAAGGGGGGAAATACCAGAACGAATCACAAATTCTATATATGGACTCTGCCCAAATCTCTCACTGACCTCTGAAAACCACAAGCACTCAGATTCCAAGGAGTTGAAATTAAGGACATTCCAAGGAGTTGAAATTAAGGACAAAATAACTGAACAGGGATTTCAACTGAAGGAAAAGAGGTTAGATGGAGTTTGACATGAGCCAACGTAACTGCTATGCTATCAAAAAACAAATTTCTGCAGAGGAACAAAACAGAAAACAATCTCTACAATGTGTGATTCACACCAGCCAGAATATAATTCAAAATTACTAGACATACAAAGAGAGAAAAAAGTGACCCATACTCAAAAGAAATGGAAACCTACCCAAAGATAACCCATGTTGGAATTAGCAAAATTTAAAGCGGCTATTACAGATATGCTCGACATTATAAAATATATATATATTCTCAACAAATGAACAAATGAGCAATCTCAGCCGAAAGAGTCACAAGAGTGTGAGACCGGCACTCCCTGAGACGCAATATGCAAAGGCAGCCGAGAGCTGAATGTGGAGCAGACACTGAGGAAACTCCTCCCAAACACCAGCCCTCCTCTAAACACAAGGATCAGCAGAGCAGTTGGAAGCCTGGTGTGCACTAAGGACACCACAGCAACTTAACAAAACTCAAACCCAGCCCAGCTCCTGAACAGATCAACTCAAATTCCCACACTAAACACCTACCGGAAAGAGGCGCCCATGTCAAGGCATAAAACCAATCTACTGCCCTACATAAGATGTCCAGATTTCAACAAAGAAGTCTAAAATATATAAAAAGCAAGAAAAAACGGTATATCCAGTTTACTATGTCAAGGCACAAAGTAATCAATAAAACCGACACAGATATGGCAGAGATGTTGGAACTATCTGATAGGGCACTTAAGATACTATGATGAATATGTCAGTGCCTCTAATGGAAATAGTAGACAAACAAAGAAGATCAGCTAGGGTTTCCTATTTGATTTTTGCTTATAGT